TAAAAAAAAAAAAAAAAAAAAAAACGATTCTTGATTAATATATAAATAAATGTAATTATTATAATTTATTTTATGGATTTTTTTTGTATTTTTAAATTCATTATATAAATATTGCCACTCAAAATCGTACTTCTATTTTACACTGTAAACGTTAATTGCCGCGCGATATATTGTATCTTATAAGTCAAAGTAAGTTATTTCTTCTTACATATAACCAGCGATAAGATTTAATCTAAACGCTAAAATTGCTTGCTCTTAAGGGAGACTATGCGGTATTAATACTCTAATTATTATTAAGCTTTTACGGATTGCTAAAATTCGTCATATTATATATATATCTTTAAATATACTTTATGCTTGCATTTATTATCCACGAGGTAGATAGAATTATTTCTGTCTGTCTCTCTTACCGTTGCTCGAGTAGCAAATCGTCAGCGGTACTCACGACACATTGTGATCTAATCATAGGATATACATTTTCAATAATACGCGTTCAAAATAACAAACGCAAGTATGTATATACATATATAAATAAATAAATATATATATGTGTATATATAAAATTGCATCGATCACTTTAATCTAAGCGTAAATTCTGATTTGTGACGAATAAATCTATAAATAAACTCTATGTTACAATGCTATATTATATAATTACATCAATAGTCTCTAAGGATGTCTACGTAGTGACGGTTTTTAGAGTAACCGAAATCCCGAGGAACTCTCACTTGCATTGTAGGTATCATCGAAAAATTGATACCAGAGGTAATTTGAAAACGCGTCAAGCGCGATAGCATTGATAGAATATGTAGAAGACACGGTATGAGATTAGGTGCGGGTAAAATATACGCGAGTCCCTCTTTCTCCAATTTTCAGTATTTTATAAAGTCTGGTATGTGCAAAAATGAAAATGAATATCGTCAAATTACGTGATCTACATCGTAATTACCTGTACTAACTTTATTATAGCGGCTTAGCGTACCTTGTATAATCTTTATATCATACTTTTCATATTATACAGCTTACGACGATCAATGAATCTATACCAAATGTATCTAAAATTCAATTATATTCTGATTCTTCAAATTCATTTTAATAAAATCTTAATACACTGTACAAGTTACAGGATTTCATTTTTTTTCCTTGACCATTGTAGTTGCCTAGCAAAGATGACAAGATTTCGAATTTATACATAAGATGTAAAAAATATAATTTCTAGCTACAAAGTTTAATTAAGAGGTACTAATTAGTAGATACTAATCAGTGATAAAACAGTTCAACTTGTTTTTCCAAATAAAAAATATATACAGTATTTGATTATGAATTTTAATATTTTTTAATCGACTTTAACACATTGTTGTTTTTTGAAATATAGAAATAAGCTATATTTATTGTTTATATATTATAGCAAAATTTATTTACAATAAACAGACAAAGGAATACATTAAATGTAGACTAATTAAGAAAAAAACTTATCACTTTATACAAATACTAAAAAAAATAATATTTACAAAATTGTTAGATATATAAAATCTTTCATTTATATGAATTCTTTGCTCGCCAATCGAGAAATTCGTCGAACTCGGCTTCGTCACCACTTGATACATCATCATTAATATTTTCTTGTTTTCTATCGGTACCTTGCACTTGTTCCATACGTTTTGCGAGATCCATTACCCTTTTATAGAAATTAATTTATAATTAATACCTTTTTTTTTTCTTATTCCATATATATATTTACTTACCTAGACCAATGCCTAATTTGTTCCTCAATTTCATCTAATTGCCTCTCTGTTGTTGCTTCCTCCTGATCGTCAGCTATAATTTGTGCAGACTGCGCAGTTTCTTCCTTAATTTCTTTTTGAAATTTCTCCCATTCTTCTTCAATGGGATCTTTGTATTCAACATTACGAACCTGAAAATAGTCGAATAATTTTAAATATAGAGAGAGAGAGAAAGACTATATATAAAGTATTATATATAAATACTTTAATTTTGAGACAAGTCCAAATATGTTGCTATACTTCAGGTATAATACTTGGTATAAAGTTTTTAAATTGTATTTTAATATTTCTTTATTTTTGTTAATGTTACATTTATATTTAAAATTTGTTATATATATATATATATAATCTTTTAAATTAATATGAATTTTAGCAATAGTTTTTATTAAGCTAATCTTACCTTAGCATCCATTACTGGATCATCAAAAAATCCTTCTGGAAGAACAGCTAGATTCATATCCTTTACTTTTTCTTTTTCTTTTTCTTCTTCTTCAACGTGTTGTATATCTACAGTATTAATTACGGAATCTTTCTCTGTGCTCTCTAACTTTTGCGTTAGAACAGATGCACTGTTGACTTGCTTTGAATTATTATCAAAAAAATCTGCTGGTAAATTTGACATGGCCGATACCACTGGCTGGCTAGAGTTTTTCAATATTCCTTTTATCTTTTTATTTGGGGAAGTATTTTGAGATGGAGATGGAGGCCTTTTGAATGTTTGTACATTAGGTATCTTTACAATATTTTCTGTTTCTAGTTTGGTCTTTTTCGTTAATGCAACATTATCTTTGTGCATCTTGGAATTTAAGTGAACAGGCCAAATTGTTTCATTCCGTACCACTGATTTGCATAAGATGCACATTAGCTGTCCTGAATCTGAATATGTATTTAGTGTTAAGGATATCTTCAAGGTTAATCTCAAAATAAAATTATACTAATAAACAATACAATTTATACAATAACAATGAAATACATATGTATTTCATTTTATTGTAGTATTAATTCGTTATAACTATGACCATGTTATTCCTCTCAAAGTGTTACAATGCACTATTTATAATAAAGTTCTGGACATTCGATAATGTATAAAATTAAGCTCAACAAGAATATTGTACAATGAAAACCACTGACAATACGATTTTAATTAATTTTTTAACATAACATGTTAATATGATCACTTTAAAGTGTACGAAACCTGTGTTAACCTCAAATTGCACTATAGAATATTTTTACAAAAAGGATATTTTGCTAATGGTGAATCGATCTTTTTGACGTTTCCGAATTTCTTCTTGTGTTCGCTCATCGCTTTACGCAGATCATCTTGCGTCAATTTCCTTTTTAAGGACATTTTCTCACTGATTTTCACTCGCCACAGTGCAACGAGACGTAACGAATGATTTGTAGGTTATGTTTTGATCGCGCTTCGTACCATAAAGCTACCTGCTGCCCCTACTGAGCCGAGTTCACAATCGTTATTTGAATGCATTTGAATGCACTCAGATGTTGTTTTATCCTTGTTGTCCTCCTAACGTTAAACGAGGATAAAACAACATCGAGTGCATCCGGATGATAATTCCGAATACTATCGTAGTATCTCGTAGTCTGTTAGTTAAAAGTGTGTTAGAAACAGATATTTTCTGTATTTATCTATTCCACATATATAACTTTCTTTAACTATATTAATATCTGATCGATTGACTGACAACGACAATAATGATTGATGAAAAAAATTTCATACTTTAATGTTTTAAAGAATCTTTTGTATTTTAAATTTATGAATGATTTCTGAAAAAATATTTTAAACGTCTTTAGATGGTATAAGATTTCTCCAGAAAACATAAAATAAGAAAACTTGAAACTTTTAAATCTGAATGGAGAGAGAAAGTAATTGAATGGTATGCATCATGGATTTAGATTGGTTTTGCAGTGTACGTGTTTTATATATTATATTATTTTTAATCAATTACTGGGGGGTATGTAGATATATTACAAATCACATATATTTAATTTGCTAATTTGTTTTATTTTTCTCTTAGAATTGTAAATTGATTCTTCGAACTGGAAAAATTCATAATACAAACTTAAATTTATAATACTATAGTCGTCTTGGATTTTCAGAAAATCTTTCTATTCAACTCTTTCTTTTTTCTAGAAGAAATTTCTTGAATAATCATTAAGGATAGTTTGTAAATTTTTATAATCATTATTTTAATTTTTTTTTTTAATTTACATGGCCCTCTGCTCTTCCTTGGCTACGTTTATCTGTATACATGCATTATACTATATTGTATTAAACCATAAACCATTGTTTGCAACAATAATGAGAAATGACATTAATTATAAAGCAACGGTCGACATTGAAATCATTGTATCAAATGAATGGCGATTCAGTATATCTCATGAATAATTTCACATAGGTATACGCTAACTCTATTAATATATAAATTTTACATTTTGACCCTCTTTCTTAGAAATTTATATGTAAAAATATATACTTGTGATTAACTTCACGTTGTTTGCAATTAATATCATTTTCATATTAATTTTTTTCTAAATTGCTCAAAAAAATACTTTGATAATGCATTGCATATTATATTGATCCAAAAGTCACCATTTAAATATCACAATTATAAAATTTTTATTATAAAATTTATTCGCTACAATTATTGTGATAATACGTTACTTAAATCTTCCATTCGATCTTTTTTCAAATTCCATTTTTATTTCAAAAAGTCCAATTTATCGAAAACAGATTTACTGCAAATTTATTTATATGTATAATCAGATATATAATAAATGGCACAAATTGACTGCAGAAACAGAACAGTATTATAATATATATTTTATTGTTAATTATATCAATAGATTCTGTAGTTATCGGAATACGAGTTTAATGGTGATTGACGCCAATATTCTGCCGTAAGGTTTTGCTTGAATCAAAAGGTAAACTACGCTAGCGTATTGCTAACATTTTACTTACTAGATATTGTAATGACACGTGCGTAGAATTTGTAGTACCTAGATGGGATGAGATAACGTAAAAGGAGAATTTCAGTTTTCAGAGATAGCAGCTATTTCATAATAGAGAGAGATTCAGAATAGGAGAGATCAGAATGGGGGAGAAGTTTCTACTGTACATATATTCTCTATATTCTAAATATAAACGCGAAAATCATGAATCCATATATAGTTTATGTCTAGCCCCAGAGAGGTCTTCGTATAGTTTCTCATACTAACCCTAAATGTAAATTGAAATTCTACGGTATTTGCTATCATGCGCCAGTGACGCCAGCTGCAAACATTTGAATTGCTATGCATATATAAAATGAGACAATGAATAAACTGCATCTTTTCATTTTTTGGCACGATAGGATTTTAGGAATGACTTATTCGAACTAGCCACAATTGAAAGTTCGCGTGCGTATTGCATAAGAAAGTTTCATCTAATTATCGATTCTGAATGATTAAATTTACAATAGTCCGCGAGTTATTGGTCCTCATGTTGGTATTCATAGTCGGTTTTTATTTTTAAGACCGTTTTAATAAGTGTTAAGATAAAAAAAAAAAACGAGAATTGATTAAAATGAATTGAAATTTTTCATTCATCCGAATGTATATTTTAAATGGAAAAACTTTTTTTTAGATTTAATTAGATTCAATTGGATTCAGTTGCGTTGAAAAACGTTTTCTATCTAGCTCGTGGAATTAAACAGTATTCACTTTTAAAAATTGAACTTATTTTTGGATTTAAAAAAAGGCGTGGAAAATATTCAATTCTATAAATAAATAGAAAGAGATATTGGATATTGAAATGGATTCAGATTTTTAGAAGTATGCGAACATAGAAATAAAACTTTTTTAAATTCATTTATTTTTGTTTCCTGGGATATTTTAAGTCAATCACAAGCCGTGATATTAGCATCTTACTTGAGAAGATCGTAAAAAATAAGAAAAGTCGTAAAATCAAGAACAAACTATAGTATTTATAGTCGATGTTTATAGTTGGTTTTAGACCATCTTATATAATACCTTTTATGCCTGTTTCTATTAATATAGATTAACTAATATAGATTTAATCTCAGTTTAATTTATAGTTTCTTTTTTTAATTCTTGGAAAAAGATAAACTTTAAGTTAAACTCTTTATCTTTTTCTAATTTTTAGAATTAGAGAAAAAGATAAAGAGTAAATTGAACTAAGATTAATCTTACAACTTGACCTTGAAATACGCATATATGGCTTAGATATCTTAAAAGTCAGAAATTGTACTTAAGACGATCTTAAATATAAGAATTCGACTATGAATACCTTAATCTTAAATGATGGATTTTACGTGTTTTATCCTTGGTTGCGTCGGTTGCGAAGCAAAAGCATGTTCGAATATCGAACAAGCGTCGCTTAGCGACATTTAATATATGTTTAGATTACACACGTTGTATAATATATCATACAGCGAAAGAGAGGTTTCAAATTGTTGGAAATAATATTTCTTCCATATCGTGTACAAATATGAACATATTTTTTGTCTCCCGTTTTCGATACATCCAGCTGCACTCGCATTTTCGCACTTTGGATTTTCATATCTTGTACCTGTTTTAATCCGCTTGGTTTGCGACATCTAGTATAAATTTTTATATTAATTTTGTACTTCAAAGAACAAAGTCATTCGATTAAAGGAGATGTTCTTATTGGCGCCTAATTATATTTTGTGTAAATTTCTAATTAAAGCGAACTACGCGCTGCGTTGTTAATCTTTCATATTATGAATGACATTGATATAATAATTTTTATGCTGAATTATCATCGTCAATTAACAGTTTCCATATTTGGAACTATCACATTGTGGACGCGCGCGCGACTTTACGCGCGTATTATTTAAACGTTTCGGAGAACATGAACAGGAATCATATCGTAACGCTTTTTCGCGGACGGAATGCATATGAAGGCGCCTGAAGTATGGAAAAAATCGCGGAGACGACAGGAGGCGATTATCGAATAGAACAATCGAACGTCGATCGTTGGAACGCCGCGTCGCGTCGCGTCGCGTCGGCAGGTGTACGAGAGGGTAGTTTGTGCGGCGCAGTGGGGTGCGCGCGGGAGCGAGCGGGTGACGTCACGTGGCGGTCGGCGGACCAATCCGGACCGGGCGTTTCACTCCTGCCAGTCAGTTTTCCGGCTGCTAGACCAGGCGGACGCCATATTGCCCGTGGCCCAGTGGTGGCGGCGGCCGCCTGTGTGTGTTTATATCGTTGTTACGCGGTTTTCGCACGTTTTCGCACCGTGGTCCGTCGCGCCGCGGATTCTCGTCGCTGGCGTGACGTTACGAGCGGGTGCGCGCGTTCGCGGAACGCGCCGTGCGCGATACGTCCGGGTTAATCGCGACAACAAACAGTGAGCGCGGCGTTCATCAGCGAGCGGTCGTATTTCGTGGATACTCCGAGCGGTATCCCGGGCGAAGGAAGTGAAACAGATCGCGGCGGGCTATAGTGTCTCGTTGTCGTTCGTGCCATACTTCCGTCTCTCTCTCTCTCTCTCTCTCTCTCTCTCTCTCTGATCTCTCTTTGCCTGTGTCTATCTTTCTCGCTCTATCTCGTCGCTCCGTATTGGACCGTTCCGGAGCACTGATAGCTCCGTGACTGGAATTGCTGTGTTCTCATCGTTCGTCTCATCACCCCCCTGTGAGGACTTCTACCTGAGAAGGATGCCAGTGCGTAAACAAGGTGGTAAGCTCGTATATGTATATCAATTGTCCGACGTAGAGAAAAATTGTTGGTGGGGCGGTTACAGGTCACTCGGTCAACTGTCATTCGAACTGACAAATCGCATGCGTCTCTGTCTCCTTGATTCGAATCGCGTAGGCGAATTTACGAGCGAAGAAGAGGAGTGGCGTGGATCCCCGCGTGGTTGAACGGGAGAGCCTAGGGTAGCCGATTCAGGCGACCTTGAATTTGCGCATCACGACGTATAACGGAAAGTGACGTATTTGACGAGAGAGTGCCCTTCATTCGATCGCTCTTCCCATCACCGTAGACGAAACTCGCACGGGGCATTGGCCACGTGTAACGAACTTGCGACCCTTTTTCGGAGTGGAATGAGAGCTTTTAAAGAGGATAGATCATCATCTCGTAATCCCCTGCCTTTCTCTGACACGTTTATATAAATTTCAACTGTGTAGGAAAATGTCATTAAAGATGCAGTGCCATTCTATATTTTCCGATTCGATCACATATATATGGATAAAACATAAATTGTGTTTCTGGAATTAGTTAGGAAGTTGTGCAGAATTGAATCATGAACGTCACGTGGCAATCAGAGAATTGGTTAATATTGCACGTTTTACACAATTCGAATAAAAGAGGTACGAATTTAATAATATACCATACATATAATAAATAATTTATAATATA